TGTTCTCCTCTCAAGTTATTGAACTTATTCTAAACAAATTCCGTCAGTCATGAACCTTTAGATTATGATAGATCTTGAGATGCTCTACAAAATCGCCGAGAGCACCTTTGTTCGTTTTCTGATCAAAAGACGTAAAAAAACTTGTTTTTTCTGAAAAGATTGCATTCCACTTGAATTTTGTATGAGTATCGAAATTAGGGGCAAAAAATGGCTTGGTGTCGAAATTAAGGAAAATGCTGCTAATTTCGACAGATGAAGGTCATCATCGTAGACCGCTGATTTCTCAGTGAAAACATCCAAGAAAAAGGCCGTCGATATACCATTTGAAAGAGCAGAGTTCAGTGAATATGCAGATATAAAAATATTTTGCCTCATGTTTTAATTAGCTGCGCACGGACTCAAACAAGATAAGACAAAATTTTTGTGTCGAAATGAGGAACATTTGCTCTATATTTTCATAGATATCAACGTGTTTTGAGAGTGCATATATATGCTTTCTTTCAATCCAATCAGTTTTCAGATAAATATTATATTGAAACTAGAGGCCCCTGCGAAGGGTTGGACTCAATGGGGAGAAAGCGAGACCCCTGAATTGCGTACTCTCCTGTGTTCCTCTGTACTTCTACTGTATTCCTGCTGTACTTTCACTGTGCTCTCCTGTACTTCCACTGCACTGTCGCTGTAATTCCACTGTATTCCCTTGCACTTCACTGTACTCCCTTGTACACCTCTGTACTTCATTGTACTCTCCTGTACTACCATTGTACTCCGAAAGTACCTAAGTCTCACATTTTCCCCTTTGGTTCGACTAATATAATAGAAAAAATTGATTTAATTTACATAAGAAAAAAGTTCCTGAATGTAAAATATTGAATTTAGATCGCTGCTAACAAAGTTAATTCAGTGACCTTTTTATATCGTATAAATATATTTTAATAATGATTGGACAGATAGAACGTATATACGTAATCAATGAGCAGACTAGTGTTTTGCGTGATCGCGAATTTCACGATCACGCGTGATCGTGCGTGATTGAGAACCTTTTCCGTCGTCGTGATCGTGATCATTCGCGATTAGAAACTTTTTTCGTGATCGTGATCGTGATCGTGATTAGGACCAAAAATATCAGTCACGCAAAACACTAGAGCAGACATAACGTATATGCATAATGCATGGACATATACGACGCATGTATTATATATATATATATGTATATGTCAGCGTCCAAACTGAGATTACGTCCAATCTCAGATTGGCCTAGGCGAATGTCGAATCCGAGATTGGACGCTTCCAATGTCGGATTGATGTAATTTTGTTCACTAAAATATCAGTAGCTCTTTAGATAGACGTTGGATTCAAACTATTTTTTGAAATGATGTACGCATAATGCTGTTTTAAGTTTTACAAGCATTTAGACAGAAGTTAAATTTAGACTCAAAAATTTAATGAAAATTTTTCACAGAAGTTGTTGTTCTTTAGAAATTTATTCATAACTCCTAAAATTTTACTCAAATCTGTCAAATGAGAATTGTGCCAAACAAACTGGCATCGTGTGAACATAACTCAAAAAAAAACAATTCGAATCCAACGTCTATCTAAAGAGTTATTGATATTTTAGTGAACAAAATTACGTCAATCCGAGATTGGACGCTGACATATATATACTTCTTTTTTCGTTCTGTGACAATCTTATGAAAGTTATCGGGGAACTGAAAAAAACTTGTACATTATAATATAGAAGATAAAGTTTCACTTCTTGATTCGAAACTTCTCTAATTCAGCTCAATTCCTATTTTAAATAATATTTGGTAAAGATTATAGAATGAAGAAAAGCAATAAAATATTAACGTCTTAGTATATAGTCAATGTATTT